TGGGAAAAAGGCGTCAGGATTTGGCTTCAGTGACTGGGTGGACGGGGCTGTTTACTGGGAGGGAAGACTCGGAGAAGCAGGATCTTGGCATCAGGTGGGGACATTGGGAGGCAGGGGATAGACAAGTATGGGGTGAGGGCAGGGCGGCGTCAACCATCAATGATTCACTTCCTGTTAGCTTTCTAGTGAACATAGGAAGTACAGTGATCATCTGTACACCTATCCTTCAATCTCTGCAATGAACATTTACCGTATTTACTTTGTACACACGCACAATTTCAAAGACAATTATAGACACGAACCTTCATCTCTAAATATTTCTACATAAATCTTTGAAAGACAGGCCTTCCATGGCACCCCAACACTACTATCATGCCTCATCAAGATGATGGCAAGTCGTTTTCATATCCTCTCATGCACAGACTGTGTTCAGATCTGTCCAAAATGTTCTTTTATTGCTACCATACCTGCCCAATTTTTTTCATTTTAATGTTTATTTTATTTTTTCGAGACAGTCTTGCTGTCTCCCAGACTGGAGTGCAGTAGCATGATTATGGCTCACTGCAGCCTCTGCCTCCTAGATTCAAGCAATCCTCCTGCCTCAGCCTCCTAAGTAGCTAGGACTACAGGTGTGTGCCATCATGCCCAGCTAATTTTATTTTTGTAGGGATGGGGTTTTGACATGTTTCACAGGCTGGTCTCATACTTCGGGGCCCAAGTGATCCTCCTGCCTCAGCCTCCCAAAGTGCTGGGATTACAAGCATGAGCCACCATGCCTGACCAATTTTTTAAATTTTTGTAGCAATAGGGTCTTGCTATGTTGCCCAGGCTGGCCTCCCAAAGTGCTGGGATTATAGGCATGAGCCACCACACCCAGCCAAAATGTTCTAAAAATGACTTTCTTAGCTGTTTTTTTCCCACAGTCCAGCCACCCACCCATGGATTATACACTGCATTTGATGACGGTTTTCAAGCTCTTTGAGCTGTAAGAATCCCACCCACAGTTATTAACTATGGCATTGAGGTTTTGAAGAGATCAGGCCAGTTATCTAGAGAGTGCCCCACATTCTGGGTTTAGATGGCTCTATTTACTTTTGGTAGTTTTAAATTTTGGTGTAATTTCAAACTTACAGAAAAATCGCAAGAACGGTACAAAGAGCTCTTTGTAGGCCTGTCCAGGTTTGCTCCATTCTCCCTGCCAGTCCCAGTTTCTCTCCAGTATCTTTGGGATCCATTTGATAGTAAGTTGCAGACACCATGCTTCTTTATACTTAAGTACGTCCATGTTTTTTTGTTTTTTTTTGTTTTTTTTTTTTTTTGAGACAGAGTCTTGCTCTGTTGCCCAGGCTGGAGTGTAGTGGTGCGATCTCAGCTCACTGCAACCTCTGCCTCCCAGGTTCAAGCAATTCTGCCTCAGCCTCTCGAGTAGCTAGGACTATAGGCGTGCGCCACCACCCCCGGCTAATTTTTGTATTTTTAGTAGAGATGAGGTTTCACCATGTTGGCCAGGCTGGTCTCAAACTCCTGACCTCAAGTGATCCCACCCACCTTAGCCTCCCAAAGTGCTGGGATTGCAGTTGAGTCACCATGCCCAGCTAATTTTTGTATTTAGTAGAGACGGGTTTTCATCATGTTGGCCAGGCTGGTCTCGAACTCCTGACCTCAGGTGATCTACCTGTCTCAGCCTCCCAAAGTGCTGGGATTACAGGCATGAACCACCACACTCGGCCAGTGTTTACTTTTTTTGTTTGAGATGGAGTCTCGCTCTTGTCACCCACTCTGGAGTGCAATGGCGTGATGTCGGCTCACTGCAACCTCCGCCTCCTGGGTTCAAGTGATTCTCCTGCCTCAGCCTCCCGAGTAGCTGGGATTACAAACGTGCGCTACCACACCCAGTTAATTTTTGTATTTTTAGTAGAGACAGGGTTTTGCCATGTTGGCAGGCTGATCTCGAACTCCTGACCTCGGGTGATCCACCTATCTCAGCCTCCCAAAGTGCTGGGATTACAGGCGTGAGCCACCACACCTGGCCGAGTTTTTAATTTTTTTTGTTTGAGATGGAGTCTCGCTCTTGCCACCCAGTCTGGAGTGCAATGGTGTGATCCTGGCTCACTGCAACCTCTGCTTCTTGGGTTCAAGCGATCCTCCTGCCTCAGCCTCCCGAGTAACTGGGATTACAAACGCGCGCCACCATGCCCTGCTAATTTTTGTATTTTTATTAGAGACAGGGTTTCGCCATGTTGACCAGGCTGGTCTCGAACTCCTGACTTCAGGTGATCCGCCCGCCTTGGCCTCCCAAAGTGCTGGGATTACAGGCTTAAGCCACCACGCCCGGCCCCCGTGTTTACTTTTTAATATCCATAACGATGAAAATGAGGACATTTAACCTTGGTGCAAGACTTACTCACATTTTGCCTGCTGTCGCGATAGTGCCCACTACAGCTTTTTCCGCAGTCGGGATGGCATCTGGGACGCTGGTTGTGTGTAGTTGTGAGACGCCCCTGCACACTGGGGGCCCTGAAGGCGCCGACCACACCTGGGGCCTCCCTTGTGGTGTCTGTCCCTCCCTTCTTCACACCAGCAGGTGGCTGAATCCCACTTCGTGTCTCCCTGCCGTCTGCATCAGGCCCTGGTGTCGCTGTCCCTCACATGCTGTCTGGCGTCAGGCCCTGCTGCAGACTCGGACTGGCCTGTCCCTTCTGTCCTCCTTTCCTGTGGACACACTGTGACTTCTCTCATGATCCTCCTGTGAGAACTCCCTGGACCTCGTGTCCTGTACTGGCAACCGCCCATTTCTCTGCTCTCCTTGGCTGCCCGGCGCTTGTCTGTACCTCTTGAGCTACTGCATCCTCGCTTGGATCCATTCCCAGCAGCCTGTGACCATAGCCTCCCGTGCTGTTTAGTCACGCTACCATGCCCAGCTAATTTTTGTATTTTTAGTATAGACAGGGTTTTGCCATATTGACCAGGCTGGTCTCGAACTCCTGACCTCAGGTGATCCGCCCGCCTTGGCCTCCCACCGTGCTGGGATCGCCAGCGTGAGCCACCACGCCCGGCCCACATTCAGATTTTCATTCTGTTTTTGAACATGCCACTGGAGGGCCTCTCAGCTGCAGAGCAAGCCTTTGTCGCTTGTTCGTGGCAGAATGAGCCGAACGCTGTGTTGTGACCTGTTTTAAAAATAAAGCATGTTGAAAAAGAATAGCCATTGTCTTTGACCTAATGAGTTTATGCCTCCTTACCTCTGGCCACCTGAGCTCCTTGGTCCACTGTAACCCTCTGGCCCGGGCTGTGCTGGAGTCTTTCTGGGGCTCAGTCATTCACTTTTTTGGTTTTTCGTGTGGGGTCAGTGGTAGTGCTTTCTCCGTCATAATTTGCTTTTATCTTTATTATCCAAAAACCTTATTTCTCTTATTTCCTTCTTTAAGTTTAATTTTATTCTGGCATCTTGGGTTGAAAGTTTATTTCGTCTATCTTGTTTTCTAATCAATGCATTATAGTAAATTTGTCCTGGTGTGCTTTTGAAACATTTCACAGGTTAGGACGCAATGCTTTCGTTGTTTCTCAGTTCTAAGTAGCTTGTAATTTTTCTTTTCTTTTTTCTTTTTTTTTTTTTTTTTTGAGACAGAGTTTTGCTCTTGTTGCCCAGGATGCCGTGCAATGGCGCGATCTTGGCTCACTGCAGCCTCTGCCTCCCGGATTCAAGCAATTCTCCTGCTTCAGCCTCCCGAGTAGCTGGGATTATAGGCGTATGCCACCACGCCCAGCTAATTTTGTATTTTTATTAGAGACGGGGTTTCTCTATGTTGGTGAGGCTGTTCTCAAACTCCTGACCTCAGGTGATCCACCCGCCTCGGCCTCCCAAAGGCCCGGCAGCTTTCTTCCTGTTAATAACTTCCTGGTATATTTTCCTGACATGTAGTTAGAACTATTTCTTTTTTCCTACCAAGAATTTTTTTTTTTTTTTTTTTTTTTTTGTTGAGACAGAGTCTCGCTCTGCCGCCCAGGCTGGAGTGCAGTGGCCGGATCTCAGCTCACTGCAAGCTCCGCCTCCCGGGTTCACGCCATTCTCCTGCCTCAGCCTCCCGAGTAGCTGGGACTATAGGCGCCCGCCACCTCGCCCGGCTAGTTTTTTGTATTTTTTTAAAGTAGAGACGGGGTTTCACCATGTCAGCCAGGATGGTCTCGATCTCCTGACCTCGTGATCCGCCCGTCTCGGCCTCCCAAAGTGCTGGGATTACAGGCTTGAGCCACCGCGCCCGGCCCCAATAATTTTTTTTTATTGTTGGTATTATTCTTTTTCTTATTTTTTTTTCTCTTTCTCTCTCTTTTTTTTTTTTTTAGCGAGGGGCTCTCATTCTGTCACCCAGGCTGGAGTGCGGTGCAACCACAGCTTATTGCAGCCTTGTCCTCTCGGGCTCAGGTGATCCTCCTGCCTCAACCTCCCGAGTAGCTAGGACTATAGGCACCCATCACCACCACGCCTGTCTTATTGTTATTCTTCTCATATTCACAAATCTAATATGAGTATCTACTTTGTTATGTTATCATCTCAATATGTTTTGATGCTATAAAAATTCCTTTAAAACTTGACTATTTCACATATGTTCTGTTGCAAATAGATGCTGACTGAGAGTGCAATGACATCAGTACCATGTCTTTGGCCTGGGCTCGGTTGAGGGGGACTAAAGGGATCTGTTCCTCTCTTTCACAGCTGCCCCAACTCCCAGGAGACGGGTTGTGGGCGGGCCCTGTAAGGGTCCAGATGGAACCACAGCTTAACCCTGCCTGTGCCCGACTGTCCACAGTGAAGGCAGACGCTGGGGCTAGCCTCATCACTGTGTGAAAATAGCTGAGAAGATCTCGCCAGTGCCTGGTTATGTCTGAGAATGATTATTTTCTTCTTCCTTTCTTTTTTTTTGAAACTATCTTCTTTTAAATTTAGATGGATAATTAAGAATGATTCCAATTTAAGGTTCTAAGCACAAAATCCAGATACGTCATGTTACGGACTTGCTTCCTGCAGATGAAATCAGCAGAGTTGATGGAAAGAATCCACGACACTCCTACAGAACAGCGGATCACAAATGGTTGTCTCCATGAAGCCAGAAGCTTTGCGTTTGAAATTTCTATCTGGGCTCATTTCCAGCTGTTCAGGATTCGGATTCCTGAAGGCTTCTTCAGGCCGGGCGCGGTGGCTCACGCCTGTAATCCCAGCACTTTGGGAGGCCGAGGCGGGCGGATCACAAGGTCAGGAGATCGAGACCACGGTGAAACCCCATCTCTACTAAAAATACAAAAAATTAGCCGGGCGCGGTGGCCGGCGCCTGTAGTCCCAGCTACTCAGGAGGCTGAGGCAGGAGAATGGCGTAAACCCAGGAGGCGGAGCTTGCAGTGAGCCGAGATCGCGCCACTGCACTCCAGCCTGGGCGACAGAGCGAGACTCCGTCTCAAAAAAACAAAAAAAAAAAACTGAAGGCTTCTTCAGCACTTAATTCTTTGTTGACTGAAGGGGCTGGGACCGTTTCTCCACACGCAGACTGATCTTTGTCATAAGTCACTTTTGTAAGGAGAGAGCAGGTAGGACACATTGCCACGCCTTCCCCATTCTCCAGATCTTCTTTGGTGATGGCGAAGTTATCTCCACATGGGCAGGGACAGAAATACGTCTCCGAGTCCTCGTCATATTGGAAGTCCTCGATTTCCACCTCGTCGCGAAACACTGCCACGGTCAGCGGGGGTCGCTGAAGGGATGACGCCCTGGCAGTCTGAGACCATCTCCGAGGGTCCAACTTTGGTGGAGCCGGCCTGGGCTCTGACTTTCATTTAATTATCCTAAAAGGTGCATTCTATCTTACCAAATATAGGCAATTTTTTTTTTTTTTTTTTTTTTTTTTTTTTTTTTGAGATGGAGTCTTGTTCTGTGGCCCAGGTTAGAGTGCAGTGGCGCGATCTCGGCTCACTGCCAGCTCCACCTCCCGGGTTCACGCCATTCTCCTGCCTCAGCCTCCCGAGTAGCTGGGACTACAGGCACCGCCACCTCGCCCAGCTAGTTTTTTGTATTTTTAGTAGAGACGGGGTTTCACCGTGTTAGCCGGGATGGTCTCGATCTCTTGACCTCGTGATCCACCTGCCTCGGCCTCCCAAAGTGCTGGGATTAGAGGTGTGAGCCACCGCACCCTGCCAATGTTTTTCGTATGTAGGCTTTAGGTATCAGAATGTAGGAAATTATCAAAATGTGGGGTCATCTTAAATTGCATCCTAAAACCTTTTAAAATTTGGGAAGAAGCCAGGTGTGGTAGCTTACACCTGTAATCCCAGCACTTTGGGAGGCCGAGGTGGGTGGATCACCTGAGGTCAGGAGTTCGAGACGAGCCTGGCCAACATGTTAGAACCCCGTCTCTACTAAAAATACAAAAATTAGCTGGGCATGGTGGCAAATGCCTGTAATCCCAGCTACTCAGGAGGCTGAGGTGGGAGAATCACTTGAACCCAGGAGGCAAAGGTTGCAGTGAGCTGAGATTGTGCCATTGCACCCCAGTCTGGGTGACAAGAGCGAGACTCCATCTCAAAAAAAAAAAAAAAAATTGGGAAGAAATGGGTATATTTATATGCAGGTGTAGATTCTGAGTGTACGCAGTAGTTGGAAATGGCAGCTTGCTTGGTTGGGAAGTTGCTTAAAAGTGGATAGGTGGAATGTTACAGCCACTCCAGATGATTTGGAAGTTAAATCCTTGGCAGCATGGCTCTTACGTCCTCTGGACTTGAATTCAGTACAAACTTACCATAACTCAGCAGCAAAGAGACTACACAGGCTGGGCACCGTGGCTCCTGCCTGTAATCCCAGCACTTTGGGAGGCTGAGGTGGGTGGATCACCTGAGGTCAGGAGTTCGAGACCAGACTGGCCAACATGGTGAAACCCTGTCTCTACTAAAAATACAAAAATTAGCCGGGCGTGGTGGCGGGCGCCTGTAATCCCAGCTACTCAGGAGGCTGAGGCAGGAGAATTACTTGAACCAGGGGAGGCGGAGGTTGTGGTGAGCCGAGATCATGGCATTGCACTCTAACCTGGGTATATCTCAAAAAAAAAAGAAGAAACAAAGAAATATTTTAAAAGCTGGACGTGGTAACACGCACCTGTAGTCCCAGCTACTCAGGAGGCTGAGCCTGCAGTGAGCCTTGGTTGTGCCACTGCATTCCAGCCTGAGAGACAGAGCAAGACCCTGTCCAAAATAAAGACAACTCAAAAATGGGCAAAGCACTTGAATAGACATTTCTCCAGAGAAGATACACAGATGGCCAATAAGCCCGTGAAAGATGCGCCAAGCTGTTAGTCGTTAGGGAAATACAAATCAAGACCCAATGAAATACTACTTCACACATATTAGTATGGCTATTAAAAAAAAAAAAAAACAGAAAATAACAAGTGTTGGCAAGGATGTGGGGAAATCGGAATCCCCGTGCGTTGCCGATGGGGGTGTGAATGGTGCCACCGCTGTGGAAAACGGTATGACAGCTCCTCAGAAGGTAAACATAGAATCACCAGAGAAGCATAAACCCCAAAAAGGTGAAACAGGGACCCAAATGGATGCTTTTCTATGAATATTCATAGCAGCACCTTTCACAATGGCCAAAAGGCAGAAACAACTCAAGTGGGCTCCAACAGATGAATGAATAAACAGATGTTTACCCACAACAGAACCTTATTCAGCCATGACAAGTAATGACATTCTGACCCAGCCTCCCGCGTGGATGGCCCTTGAGGACATTATGCTGAGTGAAATAAGCCAGTCACAAGAGGGCAAACCCTGCAGAATTCCATCAACGAGGCACCTGGAGCCGTCAGATTCATAGAGACAGAAAGCGGAATGGTACGTGCCAGGGGCTGGGGGCCGGAGCGGGTGTGGAGTCAGTGTTCAGTGGGTATGGAGTTGCTGTTTGCGGTGATGAAACGGTGGTGGTGGCGGCTGCACAGCACTGTGAATGGACTTCACACTGCTCCACTGTTCACTTACATGTGCTTAAAAGGCAAATTTTGTTCTGTTTTAATACCGCAATAAACAATATATAAACCTGGATTTAATCGTGTAGAATGCTATGTTTTAAAACAACGGAAATTTTCAAATGTGCACAAAAATGGGGAGAATGATGAACTCCCAGGTCCCTCTAACTCAGTTTGAGGCATCAGCTTGTTTCACCTATACCCTCGCCCTCCCACCCCCACTGAATTATTTTAAGACAATTCCAAACATCATTTCATTCATAAATATATCTTTAGAAAGAAAAGGCCTGTTTAAAAACAACCGCACTATCAGTCTGCTTCCCGAATGCCTTCATTCCTTAATACCCACCTCTGAGTCTCCTTCCCGAGTCTGAGCAGACTCTCCCGTGAGCCAACAAGTGTCTCTACAGTCAGCTCGTTTGAATCAGGGTCCAGACATCGCATTTGGTTGACAGTTTTTAAATATATCTTATCCCGTAATAGTTCCCCCTTCCTGTCTTCCTCACTGTTCATTTGTTGAAAGGGAATGATTTGCCCTGTAGATGTTTCCACATTCTGCACTTGGCGTACCTGTGGTGGTGGGCGCCTGTCATCGGGCCGTCACCTGTGCCTCTCTCTGTGTCTCAGTCTCTCCTTTGGGAGGTTGGGACTGACCCTGCCATCATCACTGGGGCCTTTTGTAAAAGACAGGTGGTGTGACAGGAGCAAGCCCACCCCACCCCCACCCTGCTGGCAGGGTCTCCCCAAGGACAGAGCCATCTCAGCAAGCAGCACCTCCACCGTGCTGGCCTCAGAACCCTCCATGTGTGGCAGTGCAGAGGGCAAGGGAGTCGCCCTGGGATGGGGGTAGATGCCCCTGATTTGTTAATGGTTGAAACTTTTTAAAAATTTAAAAATTTGTTTTTTTGAGACGCAGTTTCACTCTTGTTGCCCAGGCTGGAGGGCAATGGCGCGATCTCGGTTCACCGCAGCCTCCGCCTCCCGGGTTCAAGCGATTCTCCTGCCTCAGCCTCCCGAGTAGCTGGGATTACAGGCATGTGCCTCCACACCCGGCTAATTTTGTATTTTTAGTAGAGACGGGGTTTCTCCATGCTGGTCAGACTGGCCGCAAACTCCCAACCTCAGGTGATCTGCCTGCCTCAGCCTCCCAAAGTGCTGGGATTACAGGCATGAGCCACCGCGTCCGGCCTAATGGTTGAAACTTTTTAAAAATTTATTTTTTTGAGACAGAGTTTCACTCTTGTTGCCCAGGCTGGAGTGTAATGGCATGATCTCGGCTCACTGCAACCTCCAACTCCCAGGCTCAAGAGGTTCTCCTACCTCCACCTCCCAAGTAGCTGGGATGACAGGTGCTTGCCACCACGCCCAGCTAATTTTTATATTTTTAGTAGAGACAGGGTTTCACCATGTTGGTCAGTCTGGTCTTGAACCAACTCCTGACCTCAGGTGATCCACCCACCTCAGCCTCCCAAAGTGCTGGGATTACAGGCATGAGCCACTGCACCCAGCCTGAAACGTTTAATATATACACTGTACCTTCTCTCAAATGCTGGGTTTACAGATTTATAGCTAGGGCCTGTTAATGGTTGGAACATTCATGTCATGTATATTTTACCACAATAATACAATGTGGCCAGACATTCTGAGTATTGGAAAAACTAAATAAAAGTATACGTACAGTATAACTGCTATTTGAAAAAAAATGCTCAAATCTGTTTATTACATAAACCCCATTGTGAGGTATGACCCAAGTTCGTGAATGACACCTTAAAACAGCGTATTTTAAAGTCATTTACATAGCTTTTAATTTCAACCTTTTGCACTTTGGAAGATAGCAGTTTTCATGTCTATTAATTCAGTACATTAACCATCACTTCTTAACTTTAGGAATTTGAGAGTGTATTTTGCGGTAAAACTGGCCGAAGGCTAAAGCTGACCAGACCAGACTCCTTGGTGGCCTGTCCTGCACAGCAGAGTCTACAGAGTAGCCCCTCGATGGAGATCAAGTGATTGGACTGAACAGGGATCCTTTGGGAGTGAACAGCCATTCCTTCGTGATCTATGCACATTTTCCGCAATCCTGGGACTGTGCTCAGATCGTCTGACTCGAAAAGGGCATGACTCAAGCTGACGGGACTCCAGTAGGGACTTTGAGAGCACGTTTTGTAAAAATATTTATCTAGAACCAAATACTTATCCATGAATGTCCTCTTAGACCATTTGGGGATGAAGCCATCTGAATAATTAGGAAGCATTTTTTCAATGCCCTGATTCCATCATGTTTTCTTAACATGATAAAAAATTAACATCCTTTTACTTTCTTTAATCTTAAAAAGTACACTGCTTTTTACTTATTGTATTTACATTTTAAATACGCCCCTTTAGCAATTGGAACAGGTTAAATTGTTAACTCAAAACAGTTTGGAAATTTTATTTCATTTGTTATGTCACACCCCCTTGTAATGATTCCGAGTCACGTGGTGGTGTACTGCAACATGCAGGACCATTTTAAACCTTTGTGCTAAACATTTTCCAGATACTTGCTTTAAAGCTACTTTTGTCCACAAATGAAATACTGTCACAGTAGATGCTTAAATGCCCACATTTTCATATCGAGAGTCATTACTTTATGTGTAATAAACTGTGGTGTTTGGAATTGAGTTTTTAAATGAGTGGCTTTATTTATCACAACAGGTAATAGCAATAGACGTTAGTGCAATACAAAGTCACCCTCAATAAATACTGTTAATTGGAGATGCAAGTTTGTACACAAAACATCAGACTACACCTTTGTATGGGAGAGAATTTACTGTACATTAAATTCTTTATTTTTTGTTACTCTGTAGCCAGTCATTAATCTGAAGATTTAATACATCATTTTATTGGGATGAGATCACAGTCTCTACACAAATGCTATGTAAACAAGTTACTGAATATTTTTCATCTCATGGAATTGTACACAACGTTTTATTCAAACACCCTACCTTCTCTCAAATGCTGGGCTTACATGTTTATCAGCTAGGGCCTTTTGAGGTATGCGGTCAGGCGACAGCCCGATGAGGGTGCTCGCTGGCAGGGCCTGTGCGTCCAGTCGGCGGCCGAGGGGCAGCTGGGGCGCTCACTCTCCTGGACGTCGCCAGCCTGCCACACCCCTGCTCCTTCATGACCGCCCCACTGTGCTTCAGGCGTTTTTGTCACTTGCTTATTTCCTTATGTTGAATTTTATGAGCTTCTAGAGCCTGATTTTTCCCCGACCCCTCCTAACACGGCTCCTTGGCAGGCTGAGGTGTCGCAGATCCCCGGTGTCCCCTGGGCGCCAATGGCACCTGGAAGCCCAGGATCTCCGGGAGGCCCAGGCTCGCCGGGAGCACCGTCCTGGCCATCCTTGCTGGTGCCGGGCACGCCTTGGGGTCCTTGGGACAGAGCAGAAGGGTGAGTTCAGCTGCAGCCGGGACTGGAAGCAGGGGTACTTGACGTCCAGCTGCGAGCAAGCCCTGCTCTTTCATCAGCCGTGGGGGGTCGGGGAGGCCGAGGGAACAGGGCACACAAAGGCTCTCCGGGGGGCTGGCTGTTGGGAGTGCCCCGAGAAGGCCAGGCGTGGCTAGCCCCAGGCAAGGGTGCAGAGCCGTCCCGAGGACACCCGCACTCTGACTTACTCGGGTTTGGTGGGGGCTGTGTGAGTGAGGAGTGGATTTGTAGTGGGCAGGGGGCCCGGGGTGGCTTTGGTGAGTGATGACAGTGGAACCATGGGGGAAGGCCTGGGTGTGAGGGAAGAGGGAGTCAACTGCCTAAGTCGGGGTGTCAGAGCCATTCACTGAGATGAGGTGACAAAGTCCAGAATGCTGTGGTCATGGCACAGCTGGGAGGCTGCTGTCCACCAGCAAGCGCAACACAGATGCTGTTCAAAGCTACACAGGTGGAGAGATGCGGCTGGGGGCCCGAGACACCTGCGCATTGGGACACCAGGTAGAGGCAGAGCTAGGTCAGCAAAGGAGAAAGCCCAGGAGCGTGGGGCACCCAGAGAGCAGTGTGAGTGCATGGAGGGGAGGACAGGGCTCCAGGGCAACCAGGGAAAGGTGGGAGCGGGAGCCTTCTCACCTGGGCACACACATCCTTGGAGCCTAAGGCCTCCTGGTTTTGAGAAGGCACCAGGCTAAGGCAGGGGCAGGAAGGGGATGGCCTTTGCCAGGGATCCTGGCGCGCCTCCCTCCGTGACAAAGCATTTATTTTTGACATTAGAAATGGAAACATTCAATGGCTGCACAGGTCAATTAAGAGAAAATTCTGTCAGAATTTAACTGAAATAGATACTGAATAGCTTAAACAGAATCTAACCAAATCGACTTAGCTAAAATAGATCCAGGAGGATCTGCTTACTGATTAAACTTTTTTTTTTTTTTTGAGACAGTCTCGCTCTGTCGCCAGGCTGGAGGGCAGTGGCGCGATCTCGGCTCACTGCAACCTGCAACCTCCGCCTCCTGGGTTCAAGTGATTCTCCTGTCTCAGCCTTCCAAGTATCTGGGATTACAGGCGCCCGTCACCATGCCCAGCTCATTTTTGTATTTTTAATAGAGATGGGGTTCCACTATGTTGGCCAGGCTGGTCTCAAACTTCTGACCTCAGGTTATCCGCCTGCCTCAGCCTCCGAAAGTGCTGGGATTACAGGTGTGAGCCACCGCGCCAGCCCCGATTAAACTTTTATGTATTACAGTGGTTACTGAGACAATTCCTAATCTTGCCTCTGAGATTGCTTTGCCAAGAGAAGAGGAAAAGAGACCCATTCGTAACCCAAGCACACCCCACATAAAGCTACAAGATGGCGGAAGAAATGCCACCCAGTGAAGCCGTGCTGGCCGTGCACTCGTACCTTGGGGCCCCTGGTCTCCGTCAGGCCCGTCCAGCCCTGCTCCTGCCACGCCTTTGTCTCCTCTGTCACCCTGGCTTCCTGTCACGAGGTGTGGACACGGACACATGGTTAGAGTATCTGTTGCAGCCACAGCACAGCGGTGTCTGATCGACTTTTGTAATAAACAGGGTTCCCGCTTTTTACCGAAGTACAGACGTCACACACACAGGGCTTGACGGGGTCCGACAAGAGGGGCCCACCTGTACACAGTCTTGCGCCGCAGGACGGCTGCAGGTCAACGACCCGCCGTATAGGTGATGGTGGTCCCATAAGATTATCATACCCAATTTTCACCATACCTCTCCCGTGTTTGGATGTGTTTAACACAGATACCCACCACTGTGTTAGAACCGCCCACAGGACCCAGCACAGTAACAGGCTGTGCAGGTCTCCAGCCATAAGCCCCAGCTCTGGCACACGGCCCAGGGGTGAGGGAGGCCGGGCTTGCGCAAGTGAACTCAGATGTTCCCACAGCGAAACCGCCCAGTGGCACAGCCGTCAGAACATATGCCTGCTGCTGAGCCCTGCATGGCTGAACGACCTCGCGGACCTCCGGCAGCCAATTTGAATGGGATTTTAGTTTTGTTCAAAATATTTATGCCTATTAAGCAGTTATTAATGTTTTATAATCCTATTTTAAATGATTTTCAACCCACGGGTCATCTAAGGGCATTTTCACGTCCCTCT